TCACACTCACTGAGTCGACCACAACCACCACTACAACCATAACCGCCACTCCAACAGAACACATGATCGACACGACAACAACGCGGCCACTGATTAACGGCGAATTGAGTACAAATGATAACAATATTATTGACACTAAGACCGTATGTGTGGACAACAGTAGTATTTCAAGCAGTGATGGTGTGATTACTTGCGCCCAACAATCCGTCACAACGACCACAGATTCGACGACCGCTGCGACGCCTGAAGTGCCGGTCACAGCGGCCGCCGATCACCAGACGTCTAGTCAACAGCTAAGCTCTGAAATTGATTTATTGAAAGGTATGGATTTTAATGAGTGTCACATTTACTAATTGTTTGTCTAATAATAATTGTTTTTTGACTTACATTTAATGGTTTGGTTTTTGTTGTATTGTCTTGTCTTGTATTGTATGCCAATTGCATGTTATTTAACACACAATAGACCAGTATTTAAAGGCGACGCTACGGCACACGGCGTGTGCGCTAATCATATTGAAAGGTTTGGCCATTCATTAGCACACAATTCCTGCAAATACTTTCTAACTCTCTCTCTCTCCGATCACTAATTTGTTTGTCATTTCATTTAAAAGCTTTTTTGTGTTTGCATTTCTACTAATCTGTAAAGTCTGTGCTTTTGTGTGAAATAATTTGAATTAAATCACGAAAATTAATACCATTTTAACGACAGAACTGTTGGCCGAAACGCGAGCGGCGAAGAAGGTTACGGACGAAGAGTTGTCGCGAACGGTCACCGAATTGGAGAACTTGCGGTCACTGACCAAACAGTTGTCGCGGGAATCGGACGACGCTCTCGAGAGGTTAGAGCGGACGGCGCGAGAAGTGGACGAACGGAATGCGTCGATACAAGCGCTCAAGAATCAGATCAACGAGTCTCAGGAGCGGGTGAGACAGGCGGCCGACGAGTGCGCACAAACTCGACGCCAATTGGCTGACACGGAGCGGGTTTGCGGTTTGAAGGACTCTGAGTTGAGTAGTTTGCGGGTACTGTTGGACGAGGAGCGCAAAGTGCAACAGAAATACGCCAACAACTATGACCAGTGCCGCAGACAATTGGTTGAACAGCAGGCGCTCACCAAACAAAGCCAAACCGAAGCGGAACTGTTGCGCAAAAAGGTGTACAACAAGAATGAAGAGTTGCGAACGTCGCGCAACAATCTGTCGGCCGTCGGCGCGCCAACAGTGGCCGCCGAAGACCACGAACGGGTGGCCAATGAGTGCCAAACTTTACGCGCCCGACTCGACTCCCGGGACAACGAACTGTACGCGTTTCGGGCGGAGAACCAGAAGCTCGCCGGCGATCACCAGTCACTTCAACAGTCGTATCAATTACTGCAACAAATCAATCGCGAATTGGAGGCCAGGGGTGACCGCTATTGGAAGGAACGGTACGATTCAGCCGTCGGTGACGTCCAAACACACGAAACAAAGGTCTTAAGCAATTATTTAGTGATAATATACTGTTTTTGACATATTTTGATTCCTTACGCCAAACCATAGCTCACATCCGTTTGCAAAGAGTTGGAAGACTTGAAGTTAAAATCCGAAGACTTTTTCAACGAAAATCAAACGCTTAGCGAAGACCTCAAGACTGCCAACGAAGAGATGGAAGTGATATCATATCAGAACAAAATTGTAAGCATTATATCTGATTTTCTACCATTTTGTTTGTATTTTTAATGTTACCGCTAATAATATCTAATATGTATGTAATTATATTTAATTTATTATTATAGGCCACCGCTTGCGCTGTCGTACCACTAATAATGCTATTGATTGCGGTTATAATGGCTTATTATCCATCGGTGTCAACAGTGACCGGAACTACCGATTTGTGAAATTAATTTATCAATTAATTACGAAACAATTCTATATTTTTGTCATTAATCTAATGATATAATCGGTGCCTCTCTTTACATATACGACAACTAGACCTCCAGTTCCCACTCAAACACAACACTTCCGTCTATTAAATATATATATTATTATAAATAGTAATCAAGTATTCGTTTGTAATATAGATTTCGTTATATTTTTGGTGCAATTTTTTCATTACTTATTTTATTCAACAAAAAAAGTTTTTTTTAATTTGTATTGAATTTACAAATTTTTTTTGCATTGAATTGTATTTTGTTTTTGATTTGTTTTGTAGAGAAATAAGTGTGTATTTGTTAGTAATAATGATATACACACTGTATATATGATATAAATTATTGTTTAGATTTAGGTTTTGTTGTTATAAATTATATTACAGTATAACTTATAAATTATAAATGATAAGTTATAATTAATATATCGTTTCCCATATTATTATTATATTAATTAATATATATAACTGTATATTCAGTATATATACCGTAATATGTATTTCAAACGCACCGCTATTTAAATGCCAATTGTTTTGCGAACTTTTCAATTAATTTTCTTATAATTTTTTTTGTTTGTTTTGTCAATTCATTAATTGTTTGTTTTTTAGTCAAAATAATTTCAGTAATTTATTTCAAAAAATAATTGAATGAATGAATCGATTGTTTGATTGGATTTTAAAGAAATATTTCAATTAAAAGAAACAAAAAACGAGAAAAACTTCTTTTTTGAAGTTTTCTTTTGTACACAAAATGTAATGAAAATAAAATGAGATTTTTAAACGATATTAAAATTATTATTGAATTTAATGTTTTACTAAATATTTTAAAATTGTTTAGCATTGAATTCAATTGAGAATATTCTTTATGCTGTTATATAAAGTATATATTAAACCAAATAATGATTACTATTTTGTATGCTTGTCTATCTTTAAAGATCTAGTGTTTACACAACAAATTCAAAGCTCTCTCTCTCTCTCT